ATATTTTGTATGGATATAGAGAAGGAGGTAAATGGAAATGTATTATTGTATAGCAGCTGTCCACGCGGACGCATCGCTCACTCAAGTAGGAGAGAGACAGATGTCGAACGCTGCCGAACGCGGAGGCCGATTGTGCCTCTGTCGCTCGTTCCGAGCTCTCGCTTGCACTTCAAGCCTTAAATGGAACGCTTCAGAGCGAGGTAACGCCGCATGAGTCATGTTTTTTCGGGCGTGCAGCCGACTCTATCGAATTATAAGACGTTGTCACGTCAAAAATGTCACTGTGCCCCAAGAGTAGGTAGCTACGCATTGAAAATTCTTAAGAGTGAGGGCCGCATACTCATAAGATCCTATGTCTTCTTTTTAAGGCCAACATCTTTACAAACCATTACAAAAAGAGTTTAGGTACCTATCTTATCTAGACAAGCGAATTCGTGGAACAAAAAGACGACATGAGCCTTTTAGTAATTTCAGTGGAACTTTGACAGTTCTCGAAATTATCGAATACCCAAGTTCATAAACAAAAATAAGAAACAATAAGACTACAGCACCCTTATTTAAAAGTCAGCTGGAACCAGAAAAAAAAACAAAAAAAAACTAATATAAAAACAGGAATAACGTTAAAAGAAAGTTGAAGTTAATCATAACAAAAAACCTTAAACCTGAAGAAACAAAAGAGGTCAACAAAGTCAGAAGGGACGTAAGAAAGGGTAGCATGAGAAGCTAAAAAAAAGGCAAAAGGGATAAAATATTCTTTTTTCCTATATCACTATCATCATCATCATAAGGTCGTCTGTCCAAAAATTAGTTGGACATGCATCTTCACTCATTTCTATCCTAAGCTAATCTCTTAAACCAGAAAATTCCTCATCCTTAACTATTTCCAAACAATAATGTAATCTAGGGCTACCTCTTCCCCTTTTGACTCATGTTTCTGCTTTTAATATGTCTCTATCTCGCCTATTTCTTATTAATTCTCATAGAGACTTCTATTCACCTTTTCTTCATGGTATCCTCATTATTCGAAACCTTCTAACATTTTCTTTACCACCACGCCCTCCGACTATGTTTCCCAAATATACACCTTTAACAACCTTTTTCTAATTTCTAAATTAATCGTTCGCGAGCATAAAAGTGCCTTCTTTTTGTTGAAGGTGACTCGATCCTGCAATATCCTTTGTTGCGTCTTAACCAGTTGTTAAAACGTTGTATTAAAATACAGATTGTAGTTCGAATTAATTTTTTATTTTTTGTGCAAGTACAAAGTTTTTCTTTTTTTTGTTACAAGTCAACTGTCCTTATTGGAGTTCAATTTTAGTCTCTTCGAAAAACTTAAGTTAAAATGTATCCAGTACCGTCGCCACCCCTCACCCTCAGGGTCACTTCGTGACGGTACGGTACGATATCTAAAAAACTACAACTTATAATTTATGACATGACCGACCACCCTCGGCATGCTGTTAAAAACTAGTCCCCTAAAAATTGTTCCTGCACTTTCTAAATTTACAATCTATTTACAGTTCCTTACAATTTCGAGATTTCTCTTTCTAAGAAAAGGTCTCAACATCCTTTGTTTTATAACTCTAATGCTCCTTCCATTTCGAGTTATCTGACTTCCTGGATATGGAAAATCAGTCACTTCTCCTAATTTTTCACTTCCTATCTTTATATTCGCTCTTGCCTTACTTTCTTTTCTTGCATACCAGTATTTTTATTTTACTTTTATTTGTTTTTTTTTTGACACAATACTATTTCTTCAATACCGCTTCCATTTCATTTAAGGCTATCCCTATTTATTTTATCTTGCGTATTGATCATGATGTTATTGGTTTTTCTATTAAACGTTGATTTTATGTTGAATGATTCCACTCTGTTTTCCCGATAAATATATTGAGAGAGTTAATCAAAAAGACAAAAATCTAGTTAAGTACGTACTTTTGGGACAAGTTCCTCTCCCTATTAGCTTCTAAATTTTTAAGTGATTGTAATGAGTAGCTAACAGATACCACACCCTATGCAGGAGCCCCATGAAATTAAATGTCACACCTTCATAATCTGACTTGGCACTGACCCATTATTGGTTTTTAAATAATATAAACATAAATAATTTTTGCTAAATCGAATAACGGTTGCTATCACTTTGATCTAAAACATTATATTAACTTCAATAAAGTAGAACATATACTTTAACCTAAAGCACTTATCACTAGCCTTGTCCTCTATTTTATTTTTGATCACCCAACCATTACATGCATTTAACGCCTCTATACAAGCAAACGTGTGCATAATTACAACTTATAATATTGTATTATCGTTTTGACGATGAAAGCTAGAAATGCTTTTCAATAAATCGATCGAAATCCGTTAAATGTCCGTGGGATGAATGCAATCTGATCGAAGCATTTTTCGTTCGAATACAATACTACTGTTTGCTAATTAATTGTAAATTACATTAATCAAGTATTAAATTTATGGCAAGTCGCACACAAAGCTTAATCAAGTGTAAAACAATTTACCTACCAATAAACGATTATTGGCTGTTTCAATTTATACTTTTTCAGAACTTTTATTAATTGAAAGACAAAATGTATCTAAATTGTCATATTTTAAAAGGAACACTAAATCCTTTAAGGATGTTTGGGAGGTATGTAAAAATGCTACGAAACAAATAAAAATTTGGAAGAACGTTCCTCATTCAATTCTGAAACTCCTGTAAAAAGTACAAATCGATTCACTAAAGCGTTAAAAAGTTATTGAAATTTTAAAAAATTGCAAATTTACACGTCACTTTATGGCGTAAAGTTATTCAAATTCACTAAATGGTTATCGAGGAAAAAATGAAAAATTAGCTGAAAATCTCGTTTTTACTTGATAATATAATGATAATATTTATAATTGTCTGAAATAAATGCAATTTTAAAGTTTTAATTATTATTTAAACATATTAAAAAGTTTTACGCTCATTATTAATAGAGATTGAAACTAAATATTTTTTTGTTTCGAAGTTGAAATCAAGGCATATTCACTGCCAAAAGTCAGTTAAAAATTTTCGATATTATTCGTTATTTCTTATTTTATTCAAAGTTTTTGGTCAAATTCCAAATTTTCTCTCAAACCGTATACGTTCTTTTAGTACAGATAATATTTATTTACCTCATGATATGCTGCAAAACCTAATTAATCACGAATTTCTAATTTTATGTACTCTTGTCTCCCATTGTACATCCCAAACATCCTTAAAGGTCACCGTGAAACCTTTCATTTTGCATACTACGTGAACTGTTATTTTAGAGGATTTGCTATGAAGAACACAAAAATATTTTTCTAAAACTTTAATACCTACAGCACATCTATTTAAGAAGCTGGTCACTACACGAAAATAGAGTGCGCTTCTCAACGATTCTAAATTTTTCAAAAGATCAAGGAATTCCTTCAGAAACCTAAAACTTTTACAGAAATTCTAGGTCTTCTATAAACTACTTTAATTATTAGAAGTTGTTGTTGATTTCCGATATTTAGAAAGTCAGATAATTTAGGATGGAAGGAGTAGTAGAAATGTAAAACAAAGGATACGGCACGGTCGAATCGTCTTTAACAAAAAGAAATCATTTCTATGCTCGCGAACGGTTAATTTAGAAATTCGAAAAAGATTGTTAAAGGTGTATGCCTGAACGTGTGCGAAACATGGACGATGGGTGGACGAGGCAGCAAATAAGATGTGGTGTTACAGGAAAATGATGAGGATACCGTAAATAGAAAAGGTTAGAAATTATTGGGTATTAAAAAGAGTAGGAGAATAGAAGACTGTATGTTATTTGACACCTTCTCAGGTATAAGAACCTAGTCAGAGGAATATTGGAATACCGAGCGGCATGGCCTAGAGGTTTAGACCATTGCTTAGCATTCGGGAGGACGCCGGTTCGATTCCGGGTCCGTCTGCCTTGGTCCAAGTTTTTCTGTGGTTTCCTTGGATCACTTAGGCAAATGCTGAGGCAGTAATATTCCACAGATAATCTTTCACTCTCTTCTGTCTTCATTTCGTCCGTCTCATCTTTCTCACCCGAACCACCACCCACCCATTCCCACGATTCCTGAAAGCAGGCTGAAGAGGGCCACCCGCCCTACCTTCCGGCGTTTCCAAAAGTTTAAGTTCTTTTTCATACTGGAAACGAAAATAGGAGTTAAGAGGCGTCGAGGTAGACCTAGATGAGATTACTGTTCACAAATAGTTAAGGATATGGGATGTTCCAGTTTTAGAGCACTACAGAGTACGTAATTTCCAGTAAAGAGTTCTGGATAAAATTTGTGTGTGCTAATAAATATCCAGAACTGCAAAAATTAGCTTGGAAACTTTTTACTATGTTTGGGTCAACAAATATTTGTCAAGCAGTCTCGACTTACTGATAAATATCTCCAGGATTTAATGACAACAACTTGCATCAACTTAACTCCAAACATCAGACAGATAGTCCATAACAGAAAATTGTCATTTTTCTCATTGCTATGTAAAAAAAAATACTTTTCATATTTCCGTAATTACATTTGTTTAATAAATATTTTTTTCTATAAAATGTCATTCTATTTTCTTAAAACGGATCCCGAGCGAATTTTTTCTAAAAAATGTTGTGCGGACCGCTATGATCATTCCATTTTCTTAAAAAAGGGACCCCGACCGAAACTAATTGGTGACCCCTGGGCTAGAATACAGTAGAGGTGCGTCTCATGGGATTGATGACCATCTGATGATGATGCAAAAATTAATTTTACAAAGACATCGTCCAAAAAGAAAATGAAATGAAAAGTAGTTGTGAAAATACTTGATTCTTCATTGAATTTTTATCAAACATTTATAAAACAATATCTAACTGTTGTACATTCCAACTTCAATAGTTGATCTTACATTTACACGATTCAAATTTTTGTACTTACTGGATTCCAATTTATTTTTTCTTCAAATAATTTGATTACTTATTTACCTAAAGATCATGAATTTGTTTCAGGCCTTCGTTCAAAACTTTCCGGAGTGGATGCAGTCTGTTCACATTTTCTGTCCCCAGTCACCGCTTCGTGAATAATTCATTAATTTTTGGCTGTTGGGGCTCCTGGAAATACGTACGCCATTCACGGTCTCGGTCAAGGCAACCTGCATTCTAACCCGATTTTGCGCAAAGATCATTCCAGAAGTGCATTTCGAAAGCAAACAAAAGAACATCAGCTGAGCCAGTGAAATGATAAACAGAGATCATCAGAACGCGCATTGTATGTTTATGTGCGAGCATCGCAACGAATATGAAAAAGTACGCGTTTAATAAAGACAATAATAATCATTCTATTAGTCAAATAACTCTAACGTCATATCTAACCGGGAATGGGGAGACTTCTCCTGTTACGGAAAGACTACACGACAAAATGACAGAAGACCGGGTGGTGATAAACGGCATCCCTGCTACATCGGGAGACGATGAGGAATCAAAACGGAATTGTACCTGTATTCAGAAAAGTGAGTGTCAAGATGCATTTCATTCCTAATTCCTTCATTACTAAAGTGATAAACGTTTAGACTATACCTTTGCGTTATTTCGTTTTGCTAAATAAAAAATAATATACATACATATATAGTTTTATATGTACATGCATTTACCAAGCAAAAATACTTAAGGTGCTAAAATTTACTAAAGGGATAAACATTTAGACTACACCTTTGCGTTTGGTGGTTTTATTTAGAACTCAAAATCAAATTATTTTTTAATACCATACCCTTTTATTTTATTAAAAAAAAAAACCCTTAAAACTTATTAAATAAATTCTAGACACATAGTAATGAGTTAGAACCTGCTCTTCGAGAAAATGATACTTTAGAGTGTTCTTAAGAAATGTACGAATCCCTATTTTTCTTAAACGTCCTTCACTAAATGTTCCTATCTCCGTTTAATAAACATTTCAGCGTTCAATTTTGTACAAAGCCTAAGTCGGCACTCTTTCGTAAATTTACTCATTTTGTTAGCAATAATTCATTTTTAACAATTCTACCACATCATCTCCTATTCCGACGTTAGAATTGGGTAAATTCAATTCTAACACAATGATATAATAACTAGTGTCCGACCGAAACTGGTTTTTACGACTGAAACCGAAACCGAATTTCCGCAACGGTCTCAGTTTCGGCCGAAACCGAAACCGAAACTTCCTTATAAGGATCATGTTTCGAGAGAAAAATAAAGAAAACGTTATTATAATCAGTCAGTTTTATTTTTTTATCTTTAAATCACATAGCTCTGCAGTCTTTGACATTTTTACTTATTGATAATCAAATCAAAATCAACCCCTCATTTAAGGAAATACTTTAATTGCGCCTTAAAAATACTTAAAATAGGTGAGATGTTTATTTGAGTAAGTATAGTAGACTAGACTCATTTTTCTTTCGAAGATTATTCATGCTTTTTTTTATATAATATTAAACATAAAATTACTTTTGTTATTGTTACCTAATATCACAATAGGTATAGGAACTTTTATCTTAATTAAGAACAAATTCACTTCTTCTAAACTTAATTTGTCATGTTGAACGCGCCAAACATGACCGAGCAGAGCGCGAGAACTCCCGAACGCAGTTTCGGTTTCGGTCGTAGTTTCGGCAGGTTTGCCGCCGAAACCGAAACTAAACCGAAACTCGTTTTTTTGCCGAAACTCGACCGAAACCGAAACCTAAACCGAACTTTCGGTCGGACACTAATAATAACATCACTTTCGTTTCAGTGGAAAACAGCATTTCTGTGCGTCTTCCCGAATCGAAGTACAATCAACAAAATTCCTTACCCTTCAAACCCACTGTAATTCACTGGATAAAAGAAAGAACGAAACGAAGTTGTACTAAGAAGACCCTCCGCAAACGAATTCCTATAGTTCATTGGTTACCTGACTATGATCTTAGCAAAGCGGTATCAGATCTTGTTGCGGGTACAACGGTATGACACTACTTTAATATTTTCCTTCAGGAAATCGCTATTACCGAATTGTCTCTCTGTAGGTTGGTCTCACTGTGATTCCTCAAGCAATAGCATACGCCAATGTGGCAGGATTACCTCCACAAATCGGTTTATACTCCTCGTTCATGGCATGCTTCATCTATGCCATATTCGGAAGCTGCAAGGATGCTGCGATCGGTCCTACAGCTATTACAGCCCTTCTAACAAGGGAGAACAACCATGGCTTTGGTGTTGATGGCGCTGTATTGCTATGTTTTGTATGTGGTTGTGTGGAACTAGTAATGGGTATATTACAATTAGGCAAGTACCTTGAACGTATGTATACACAGGGTGTAAGAGAAATAAGTGCGGGGCTTTGAAGGGTGCAAACTGGATGGAATAAACAATCGCATTGTGAGTTCAGTAACGTGGTTAAGACAATCACAATAATTTACAATCTGAAGCCGGCCCTGTGCGTGAATTGGTAACGTAGGTGTCTGCAAACAGCGAACTGCAACACTGTGCAGCTGCATCGACGGAAAATGTAAATAGCGTCGATTATTGAACGTCAAAGATAAACATAAACAATTTAATACATACATTTTTATCATACATACTAAATAAATTAAGTAAGTTACAGGCAGTACTATATTAATGTAAGTATACAAAAAAACGAACAAAAATTGAAGCTATGTAAACGTCAGTGGGTGGGTGATTGTAATTTTATTAAGGATAATTTCGACTACCATTAATGTATTGCCAAGATGCGTTACGTTTTTTTGCGGGTAGTTGTATGTAAACTTAAAAGTCACATAAGTCTACAAAAATTTCGCAACACACATTTACCGAAAACAGTTCTCGAAATCGGGAAGAATGTTCGACACATGAAGTTGCATCGCACCAATAGTAATTATTGTGAAAATTCAAAATTCCATCCCGGTGTAAACAACAATTACCTGTGAAAAAATTAGCCTGTGCAACATTTTGTTTGTCGAAACCGCCGACTTAAATCCACTCACGCCTGAAAATCAGTTTCAAGCATGGCTTGCACTCGCTGCAAATGATAAGGATGCAGCAACTGTTTCTTTAAAATTCACCGTCAAAGAGGAGTCAATGTTCCCTGCTATTCCGCGCGTACTGTTTTGAGGATTACTTTCTCTGAAATCAAAGACTTCGTTCCTACACAGGCAATACGGTTGAAACTCGTAAATATGTATTATATCACATTATCAACAACAACAACAACTGTTCTGCAGTGACATAGGTTCTGACCTACACTAATGAAGAATAAACGGCTGCAACAGGTTGACTTTTAACATTATAAACACCTTCAATTCACACTTAATCTAATCTAATTAACAGATAAACAATACAGGAGCAAAAAAAAGTATAATACAGATATTACACTGATGCTGGTAATTACCAGCTGACTGAGTACGGCGTTACGGGTCCTATCTCTTTACCAGGACCGGATTTGAATGTACCGGTATTTTCAACTACTTTTTTTTAGAAAACGATGAACTTGGTGAATTTTCAGACATACAAACATTTATTTACAGTGCCTTATCACCTCCTGCAAGCTCCGTACTTATTTCTGTTACACCCTGTATATATATGTAAAAAGTTGACTTCATCAGAAGCTCTGGTAGACCTCGACTACATCTAAATTGGAACACGAAATAAGAATTCTTTTTCACAACCTACCTACAAGTTACTAAACCGGTTACATCATATTCAAGAACATTCTTTCTATTCTATTCTAAATTTGAATTACAGTTAAAGAACAAAAAACATTTCCCATGTATAACTGTCCTTATTGCTTACAGGTTTTTTGATAGATTTTATTTCGGGCCCTGTTTCTATGGGTTTCACGTCGGCAGCAGCTATTATAATAGCAACAACGCAAGTGAAAGACGTCCTGGGTTTGAACTATCCAGGCGCTAAGTTCCTCCAGGTTTGGGAACAAATTTTCGAACACATTACTGAAACGCACTTGTGGGACTGTATCCTGGGAATATCTTGCATGTTTATTCTTCTACTCTTAAGGGTAAGACTTTCGACTTTAACAAATGATAATACGATAATAAAATAATTCGAAGTGGTCTGTATTCTGTCGAAACTGCCAGACGCGGATCGCGATTTCGATTTTTTGGATCTCATCAGCGCGTCGCAGTCACATGCTTATCACGTTGAGGTTGGCTACGCCGGGATTCGTTTTCAGCAAGTAGATATCCACACAAGTGGACCTTGTTGGAGCATACGTAATCCTAAAATGTAGCATCGTGCTACAGATGGCGTTTACTGCGCTAATACGATAATAGTTTTTAATGGTTGTTCATTTTACAGAAAGCCAAAGACATACACATTGGACCCGATGATGTCAAAGAAAGGAAGCCTTTTCACGAATTTTTAGGCAAGCTTCTGTGGCTTATTTCCACTTCTAGGAATATTTTGGTGGTTGTATTTTGTGCTGTGATGGCCTACTTATTTGAAGCGCATGGGTCACATCCGTTTATATTAATTGGTAAATCAACATTTCAATATTTTACTCATCAACATCATCATAAAGCCGTCAGTCCTAAGACTTCACGCCTTCCTATCCTGAGCTAATCTTCGTATTTCCTTAAAACTAAAACATCCCACATCCTTAACTATTTGCGAACAGTAATTTATCTAGGTCACTTCTACCTCTCCTAACTCCAGTTTGTGCCTCTAGTATGTCTCTGGCTAGACCTTCATGCCTCTCTATATCCTTAGAAGCAAAATACTCTACTATACCTACGAAACAATTAGCTGCATTGTTCAATCAATCCGTTTTGTATATTACTTCTTTGTTATTTATATGCTCTCTTCGACAGGTTATGTAAAACCAGGATTACCTCAACTGTCACCACCTCCTTTTAGTACCCAAGTCGGAAATACCACTTACAGTTTTGTTGATATCGCTTCAACTCTAGGATCCGCCATGTTTGTGGTTCCCCTTTTTGGAATTTTGGAAAACATTGCATTGGCCAAAGTATATTGTAAGTAATCTACTAAAACAAACCCATTAATAAAGGGTCTCATTATCTACCCTTTAAACAATGGTTCATATTTTGTATTTAGCTGACGGAAAAGCAGTCGATGCAACTCAAGAAATGCTAGCACTAGGTGCTTGCAATATAGCGTCATCCTTCTGTAGTTCTATGCCAGTGTCAGGAGCCCTGTCAAGAGGGGCAGTAAACCATGCGAGTGGTGTCAAAACCACTTTTGGTGGTGTCTACACTGGGATTATAGTAATTCTATCTTTGCATTTTTTCACTCCCTACTTTGCCTACATACCAAAAGCGTCACTGGCTGCTGTCATCATAGCTGCTGTTGTCTTCATGGTGGAACTGCACGTGTTGAAACCAATCTGGAGGACAAAAAGTAAACTTTTTGTCGTATGTTTAAGTAGGCAATTGTATCTAACATTTCGTTCTTTTCTCTTTCACAGAAACGGACTTAATTCCTGCGTGTGCAACGTTCCTGTCATGTTTGTTCCTCAGACTAGAATTGGGCATCGTTATTGGCATAGGAATCAACGTTTTGTTCCTTTTATATGCCTCAGCTAGACCTTCAGTAACCGTAGAAAAAGCTACCGTAAGTATTTTATTTACGTTGGGATACATTTTTTTGTGCCCAAATCAATAAAATTATAATGAATTCATTTGCAGAGTTCATCAGGTTGCGAATATCTGCTTATAACACCCGACAGAAGTTTAGTGTTCCCATCAGTTGAATATGTTCGAGCAGTCGTGTCGAAAGCTGGAGTCAAACAGGGTTCCAGTTCGAGTCCGGTTGTAATAGATGCCAGACATATACAAGGAGCTGACTTTACAGCGGCAAAGGTAAACACCAAATCAATCATCGTCAATCCCAAGATTAGTTGGACATGAACTTCAAATCCTTTCTATCAAAAAATTGGAACATGTCACATCCTTAACCATTGATTTAATCTAGATCTACTCTACCGTTCTTTACTCAATGTTCTACTTTTAAATGTCTCCAACTAGCCTTTTATGTCACATAAGACGTCCACATCCTTTCTGTCTTATTAACTTCCACAGCGTCCTCCTATCTATCTCCTCATTTTTATCCTTTTCTATCCACGATATTTTTATCTCCCACATCTTAAACACTTCTATTCCTTCCCTTTCTATCGCTTCCAGAGTTCAAGTTTTGTACCAGTACACTTATTGGTACTGAAAATACTTCTGGGGTGGTGCATAAGGAAACTATTTCATGAAAAATAAAAGAGATCTGACAATTGATCGGAATAGGCCTCTTCCTAGGTCAGAAGTAAACGTAAATATACACAAAGGATAAATATTCCATAATTGAATAATGTCGATGCGTTGCATCTAACGCCGTGAGATACATTCGTTTCGGTTTTGTTACGTGGATATTTTTAAAAAAGGAGTTTCCTATTACTTAATATGAACGCTCACACGACAGTCTCCGAAATTTCTACCCCGAATCGTATTGCTTTCCAATTTATTAATCCTCTTTTGACCATAAACGTATAGCAAAACTTAGTACCAATGCACATCGAACATTAGAAAAATTTCGACTTTACTGTAAAGATTTTAAATTCTTATTACATTCATCATCATAAGGTCCTAAGACTGGTTGGACACACACCTCCACTCTTTCCTATCCCGAGTCAATCTTCGCATTTCCCTAAAACTAAAATATCCCACATTCTTAACTATTTGCGAACAATAATCTAATCTAAGTCTTCCTTTACTCCTATTAACTCCTGTTTCTGCCGCTAATATGTCTGCGACTAGACCTTACTCCTGAGAAGGTGTCCTACCAACCTATTTCGTCTATTTTTTATTGACTTCCATAGAGTCAAACAAAATAGTTCAACCCTCGACGCCAAAACACGACACTGTAGTTGTCCGAAGCACTTTTCGGTAACAAGATTACCTTTTTCAGGGACTGAAGTGAACTTTGTTTGTTCTACAACAACCGCCAAAGTTTTTCCAATCTTCATATTCCATAGAGTCCTATGTTCTCCTATTCTTTCTAATGCCTCTTCATTTCTAATCTTCTCTATCCACAGTATCCACATTATTCGCCTGTAACACCACATTTCGAACACTCCTAACACTTTCTTTTCTGCCGCGCCTACCGCCCATGTTTCGCACTCGTTCAACGCCGCGCTCCAAACATACACATACACAAACAATCTTTTTCAAATTTCCAACTTAATCGTTGTTATTACATTGCGACTTATTTTTTGTTAAGGGCATAAAATCACTCATCGAAGACTTTGTGCACCGAAAGCAGCCTATTTTGTTCTACAATTTGAAGCCTAGCGTCGTTAACATATTCCAAGGTGTCCAGCCAAAAGATTTCGTATATTGTCAATCGGAAAACGAATTGAACGATTTGCTGAATCAATATAAAAACAACAAAATCAATAACAATAGAAATGGCATAAGCAACACTGAAAGTGGGACTAAATAAGTATCATAACATTAATGAAATATACTCTTGTGACTAGATATTTAAATTCCTACTTAATAGTACCTACCTACCTAGTGTTTATTATAAAAGACACTGTAAAATATAAATAAACATAATTTGTAAGTAATTTATCGATAGCTGTAAAATGTAAAACGCTAAAAGCGAAAAGTGATAAACTTTGTAATAATATTACGTGTTTATATATGTATGTAGTATCTGTATTTAAATGTAAATGTTTTGCGCTATGTAATTTCATAATAATGCCTTTGTTGGTGTTAATAGAAGTAAAAGTAAATATACAACAAGGGTAACATCGATTGTTGTTTTGTTTGTAGTGTTCCTAACAAAAGTAATGGAGCAGGAAATCCATGGAATTACTTCCGTATTTACCTATTACTGCTCCTATTAAACACTTTTTACGTAAATATACTTAATGTTTTTCAATTCTGTGAATAGTAATGAGAGGTGTTTCTGTTTTTTTTTTTCGTTTTGACCCTGCGCAGCCTTTTTTATTTTATATTTCTACCGTTTCTTCTAGCCTGATACCTGAGTAATCTAAATTCTAATTTTACATTTTTTATTTTAAGTAAGTAGAGTATACACAAAGTAATTTATGATCATCATATGCATCGCACAGGTTTATATTGTAGACACTTAATCTAATTATTGCAATTATATTATAATAAATAATTAGCGTTTAAAATTTTCCGCCGAATTTCCACAAAACTATCACACAGAGATCCCGAAATAGTGATTTTGATATCACTGCACTTCATCAGCGCTACTAAGACGAAGAAGGTCCTAAACACCAGGTTAACCTAACATTCAAATACACACAGTGTAACGCCAACTAGCGGATATTCGCTGTAAGTAAGCTGCCTCGTAATTTCGGTTAAACACACAAGTTGAAATAAAGACTCACTAGATGGCAATACACGGTGTGTATTTGGATATTAATGTAATTCATTATACATACCTACGTTTAAATTGTCATGGTATGTATGATTTTCTTCTAATTTTACGTCTACTTTGTCAAGAAGCAATAGCAGAAAACTCAATATCAACGGATGAAATTTTATTTACATTTTGATATAATAACTGAAAGCGTAACGACAATTTGAAATTGTGCCCAGATCTACAATGAGAATATTCAAAAACTTATCCAGATTTCTAGATTACTAGTGAGAAGACCAAAAAAATTGAATATTGAGCAATTTACGATTAAAATCTCGTATGCTAACAATAAAAGTAAAATATGAATTAATAGTATTCATCGTAATTTTTTTTTTAGGAAAACGTATTTAATATTATCTGTAGTATGCTTAAATATATTTATTTTTTAAAAGAGAATTACTATTTATTTCAAAAATTGCCTACATAATATGATTCTACAAATATCAAGAATAAATATATCTATCCGTTTAATCACTTTACTCGTTGTTTAAAAATAAGGTACTATTTAAAATTAAGATACAGGTATTGGCACTGTACCCCTATCTAGTGGATAAAGGTCGTCAGTCCTAAGACTGGTTGGACACGCAACTTCTTTTTATTGAAGGCGGCTAGACCCTGCGCTATCCTTTGCTTTATATCCCTACCACCCCTTCCGTCCTGACTCATCTGACTTCCTAGATACCTAAAATCAGCCACTTATTCTAATTTTTCGTCTCCTGTCTTTATATTCTCTTTATCTTTTATCTTTTAATATTCAGGTACTGCAAACAAAATTAACAACAGTATTTAAGTACCTATTAAGTGTCTAAAATTTATGCAAAAGGATAAATACAAGAATTCTTTGCATCAAATTGGCAATCCCTAGACAAAAATTTTCAGTCCTTCTCCAATCTTTCAGCGTCTCTGAGAGCGTCTCTCACAGTCTCTCAGTTATTGCCTAGGTGTTTTTATGGATCTCTCACAGTCTCTGTATGAGAGACTCGAACGATAAAATTGTTAATTCAGAGATTCGAGTTTCTCACAGAGAGACAGAATGAATAAAACTGAAAAATTGAGAGACTCGAGTCTCTCGTAGAAAGACTGGGATCTCTGAAATATGTTGAACTTAGAAAATTTTAACCATGTCTATCGAGACACCACTTATTGAGAGATTCAAGTCTCTCGTTCAGAGATTCGATTCTCTCGTTCAGAGACTAGATACGAAATAAGGATCTCTGTATGAGCGACTCGAGTCTGTCGTTCAGAGACGCTAAACAGTTTTCTTGACAGTCTCTTGACAGTCTCTCTCAGCGACACCAGAGAGACGGAGACGAGTCTCATTTTCAGAGATTCTGGGAGATTGAGCATTTTTATCTCGGGATCAAGTTAATTTTTTTAACTGGTAAATTATAGTGTTACAAACCTGTAGTGACATATATTAATGTATTAATAATAAAAAAATAGCTTTATAGCTGCTTTAGCGTAGAGAAACTACAAAAAAAAATTTTGAACACCGCCTTCTCATTTACATAAGTAGGAACTTACAATTACTCTGCATTATGAATATAATAAATAATATGTAAGGTATGTATAAAATTTCTAACAAAAACGTTATTTTGCATTAACGTTCAACTTATTCATGCATGCTCAAGTACACGTGAGACGACGTTCACGTGAAACAAAAGGAACGAAGGTGATCCAATGACATTTTAGCGATAGTTTATAACAAAAATGTAGTTGTCATAGCTACATATAGTTAATATCATACATATATTTTAACCGATATTCAAAAAATGTATAATGTCAAAGTCGTATTTTTTTTAAAAACTTAGACTTCCTTCCAAAACACGAACAAATTAGAATAAATTATTAAACCTATCACTGAAATATAATAAAGGCAGTACTAATGTTTTATATATGTAAGTTCTCATGAGCCGGAAGTGAGTCCCAATAAATTTTTGCGAAACAATATAAATTTGATAACTTAAATAAATGGTGCAATAGAATGTGGATTAGCTAAAGTTCAAGGGATACATTTTTTAAAAATATAGATTTTACAGTTTTCCATATACTGACGATTAAAATGGTAATATTTAATAACCCATATTTTACTTATAGAGGCGTTCACCGTCGTCATAAGGTCGTCAGTCCTAAGACTGGTTGGATACATACCTCCAATCTTTCCTATTCTGAACTAATGATCGCATTTCCCTAAAACTAGCACAACCCAAAGTAATCTAATCTAGGTCTGCCTCTACTCCTCTTAACTCCTGTTTCTGCCTCCAATATGTCTCTGACTAGACCTTCATACCTGAGAAGGTGTCCTACCAGCCTATCTCGCCTATTCCTTATTGAGTCCTCTATTCTCCTATTCTTTCTAATACCTCTTCATTTCTAATCTTTTCTATCTACGTTATCCTCATCATTCACCGGTAACACCACATTTCGAACACTTCTAACCTTTTCTTTTTCGCGTTACCTCGAAAGCAACAGTTACTTCAGTAGGCCATCATAGGGTCAGTAGTCCTAAAAACGTCCTACATCCCCATTTGGGCTCAGTAATTTAATCCAGGTTTTCCTCTGCCCTCATTTCCTCCCTCTTTTGCTTCCCATATACCTGAATCTAACCCTTATGTCTCATAAGGTGTTCCTACCGACTTTCTTTTTAACTGTCATATACAGAGAAAATAAGAAACGAAAATTTACCTAAATATTAAAGCGCTATTTACAATTTATTCCACTAGCCCGTTGTTCCGTAAGCGAAAATAATAAAATTACAATTTGGACCCGAATTTGTAAAATTAAAATCCCAGCAGAAATAAATTTACTGGGTATTTTAGTTGATATTACAAATTTAATTGTAATAAGTTATTAAGAAACTTGAAATATTTTTTATAGAAACATATCAAAATTGAGATTATTACAAGTTACCTAATAAATTCTATTATTTCTACGATTAATTCAATCATTTACAATTGAAAAAATGTAATTTTTGCGTTATCATAAAAATTTAGTTTTCTCCGTGTACCACCCGTTCTCCTCCTATTTTTTCCAATAGCACAACATCTCAAATCCTTCTAACTTTTTCTCGCAGTTCAACAGAGCCATGCTCCAAACCACATGAACCGTTCGTGAGCATAAATGTGACTGCCAAATTAGTTGTATTATTAATATGAATAATTTTTTCACGTAGTACCTGCCTGTAATTAATTTTCAAACGTTTCAAATATACCTATCAACAGTTTCCATAAATTAAATATTTGTTCTAAATAAAGCCCGACGGTGAAAGTGAAAGCACTTTTACTGCTGCTTAACATGGTCTGTAAAAAGCTTAAAGCACGCTTGTAATCGAAAATCTCTTGATGTTAACGTACTTTTTATTGAGTTATTTTGCAAGTTATTAAAATGATTACAAAAACAAAACTCGCTTTTACATTTCCATTTAAAAACGCTTATTGAGAAATTATATCACGCATATAGGTACGCGCTCGTTTATAGCGAAAATTCCTAATAAAAATAGGAAAGTTTGAAGTATAGTAATCAATATTAGCAAAATTAGTTTAACACAAGTTTGAATTGTACGCCGGTACTTCTCAACTTATCGGCTGCATTATTTAAGATAACAATGTCACAAGTTTCGTTTTTATTTTGAAATACGCAACTATAAAAAACAATTGCGCATTGTAATTTATTGTCTTCTATACCTCCTTATGAAAATAAATAAAAGTACTGGTATGCAAGGGAAGAAAAATAGGGAATGAGCGAATATAAAGATAGGAGACGAAAGATTAGAAGAAGTGACTAATTTTAGGTATTTAGGAAGTAAGGTACGTCAAGACGGAAGGAGCAGTAGGGATATAAAGCAGAGGATAGCGCAGGATCGAGTCGCCTTCAATAAGAAGAAGTCACTTCTATGCTCGCGAATGGTTAATTTAGAAATTCGAAGACGATTGCTAAAGGTGTATCTTTGGAACCGGCGCTGGACGAGTGCGAAACATGAACGGTGTGCGCGGAGGAAAATAAAAGATTAGACGCGGTAGAAATGTGATGTTACAGGCGAATGATGAGGATGCCTTGGATGAAGAGGTATTAGAAAGGAGAACAGAGAACTCAATGGAAGTCAAATAGACATAGGCAAGATAGTTGGTAGGACACCTTTCCAGGCATAAAGGTCTCGTAAGAGACATATTAGAGGCAGAAACAAAAGTTAAGATGAGTAGAGGTCGACCTAGATTAGATTACTGTTCTGAAATAGTTAAGGATATGGGATATTCTACTTTTAGGGAAATGCGAAGATTATCTCAGGATAGGAAAGAGTGGAGGTGCATGTCCAAGCACTCTTA